CCTACTCCCCTCGTGTGTCCCTGTTCACCTTACGACTATATATATATATATGATAGAATGTTAAAATATTAAAACATATCTTTACTATTAGGTTATTATATCCCAAAGTTACCTACCTTCTCAATAATACATTTGAAATTGTCTTAAATTTTATGTTTCTCCTTAAAACGATCATTATAAAATGTAGCATCTAGATTTCTCTATTTCGTAAACTTCACTGAGCGCATCGCTTGGCAAATTAATAGAACTTTGTTCGCAAGTGGATCATTTGTATGAAGGTTGATGTTTTGATTTCACAAATATAATGTCTGTGGTGGCAACAGATGTTGTTTTAGTACCTAAAATCTTTATAATAGTCTGGAAATTTATTTTTATTTATGATTATAAAATTTTAAAGCTTGAAAAATAGTCTAGATCAAGTAAATCTACAAACACTTGAAAATCTTGAAGAGGGCGATGTAGATAATGCATTACAATATGCACTATTCTCAAGACTAGAAGTCCAATTTTTTTTATATCCATGTATCTCAAGGTCGAGATGATCGGATTAGAAGATTTTTTAGCATCGAAACAACTTTTTCTAGCAAATTTTTGAGATGCATCTTAGTTTGACAATTTAGGGTCTTAACCTTATATAAACTTTTTTTCATACATTAACGTGTCTCTTTCAATTCCAAATTTTGTTTAAAAAAAGTATATCTATTTAATACTTAATTTAGTTCAATTCCAAATATTAAGGTGTTTTATTGTTTGAATTTTGCTATCATATTTATTCTTTTTGATTTTTTGATTTTTGATTTTGTCAAAAAAAAATTCAGAAAGAAGACACATGATAGAAAAATTCAAACAATAAAAACCTTAATATTTAGAAAATAATTATATATATAAAAAAGATAAAATATTCCTAATAAAAAATTATATATATTTTCTCATATATATTATATAAAAAGTTAGAGTTTTGTCAAAATTCATGAAAAATCAAATAACAATAAATAAATGGAATTTTCAAAATAAGTAATATTACGCTCACTTTTCATTTACTAATAATTAGATTCATCTAGTTTCTTAACTATAACATTTTGGTCATGCGAATGCATTTTATTATGTAAGAATAAATATAGGAAAAACAACTTACTCTAGGTAAAAAGGATCACAATCATTATTGACAATTGATTTTAAATTGACAGGCTGGGTTGGTGGTGTAAATAACTATTCCCAAAATTTTAAAAATAATATTTAAGAATTTAATAATAATCCCAAAGGCAAATGATATTATGATATTAGAGCGCATATACTATGCTCTTCTAGGAGCATATATCATCCATCAACTCCTTTGGCTAGAAAAACCACTTGGACAATTTTTTATTTTTTATTTAATTTAGAATCTCGGAACCACTTAAGAACCACAAGATTATTTTTAAATCAGAAAATTTGGATTTTAAGTTTTCTAACACTTAGGTCTCACCATACCAAATTTTCTAATGCTTAGGTCTCACCATAAAAACTTGAACGGTCTTGGTACAATAATGAGACATCATTATTTTCTTCAAGTGCATAGAGAACGTAGTTCAAAATTTTCTTTTGTTGACGTTAAATTGAAACCTCATGTTTTTGTTTATTTTTATATTTGAAAATTCACATTTTATTTTAAAAATATTTTTAATAAATTTGCCCCGCTAACTACAACGTGCAACATACCTTTGAGGCAATATTTATACCTTTGAGGCAATATTTAGTAAAAGTGTAGGCCTTAAATAATTTGTAGAGCTTCATACTCATGCAACTGGCTGATATGGTACAATTCTCCCACTTTTTATTTTATGAATACCCTGTAACTATCCAAAATCCAAGGGGACTTCAAGTATCTTTCTCTTTTCTCTCCTTCTCCCTCTCCTTGACATCCATTGCTTATATTTTTAGACCTTAACCAAATCTTAAACCTTGACTAAGTCTCTTCTCCCTTTCAACACTAGTGAAACACAATTTTTAAAACCTTGATCAAATCTTATATTGAATTTATTAATTTATTCACATTACAAATTATATAGTGTATTTTTTTTTGTTATAGTTGTAAATTGGATTTTTTAAGTTAGATGATATTATAAGATAAATTTCGAAGTTATTTGCATAGAATGATTATAAAATACAAGCTAATAATTCTAATTTTAATGTCTATTATTATAGTTAGTTAAATTATGATAATTTTTGACGAGTAAAGAGAATTAATAAATGTTTGCTGTTATGCTAATTTCAATGAAAGTGTTTTTAATATTTTAAAATTATTTTGATATAATACTATATTATAATTAATAATTATACAAGGATTTAAATAAGGACGCATTGTCTCAATATTCACATATTTTGCAAATAATGGAACTATATAATATAAACCCTTTTTTAAAAAAAACTAAACAAATCTTGTTTTTACAGATTTTTTGAGCCAAAACTTGTCGATTCGATCGATTATCGAATCCGACATACTAATCTCCTGAACGGACACAATTTTTGGGATGGCCAATCCAGACCACCGATCCGATTTTTAAGCCTTGAGCAACAATAGGTTTCGGATCCATTGGCCGGAAACGTACTGGTGCACCTATCAAGGTCACAAATATTTTAGGCCAACCAACAAAAATGAAAAAAGAAAATGATTTCAAAAGTTGTTTAGACTGGTCAAGTAAGAAGAGAATGGATATCAATGGTATTTCAGTAAATGACCAGGGCTTCCTTCGTCAACATCCGAACAAATCTTTTGGCGGGTCCGGTCAGCATAGCGCTTTGGAGTCCAGCTCATCTCCTTCGCTCTCTGGACCCAGCCAATTGCTTATTCCTGCGACAGTTGTCCTCCCCTATAGATTACCCCTCTCGTCGCTCCTCCAATCTTTTCAAGCGACCTGGAGTTCGATTTCCAGCCAGAGAAGGGTCTCCTATCCTTTTAACTGAAGGCCATAACCCTAATTCATGGCTCACTCTCTCTAGGCACAACAACCGCTAGTCTCTGATGACCTAGGGCGCACAAGTGTAATGCGTGGTTCAATGGAGGTTCATTTCTGGTATGCTTTGTAAATGCGGTTCTCCTTTGCTAGAATGAATTGCATTTCTTCACTTCCGTTTGCAGTTGTTGGATTTTCCTTGTGAATTATTGTTCTTATTTCCAATTTCCTGAATTTTGAATGGAATTTGATGCTTTGGTCCTAGGGCTTGGAGCACAGTTCAAGAATGAAGGATCTGATTTCTGGTTTGCGTGGTTTGGGTTTGGGCTTTGAGTTGGGGCTGACTCCACAATGTCGAGGCACGCAGCTTCGTCACACTTTCACAAGTCGAAGACGCTGAATGACAAATATGTGAGGAGTTTATTCCGTTTGTTTGGTTTTTGGGTTCACATTTTGAATGCTTGGTTTGGTAGTATTTTAAATGTAAAGTTTGCGATGTCGGGTTGTTTATGTTGCTATGTAGGAAATTTTTTGGTTTTTTTTAGTATATAAGAAAATAAGGATTAAAGTGATTTGAATTGGTTACGATTTGTTGTATATGGAGACAGATGCTTGGAGATGAGATAGGGAAGGGAGCTTATGGCCGCGTGTACAAGGGTCTTGACCTGGAAAATGGTGATTTTGTTGCCATTAAACAAGTTTCATTGGAGAATATAGCTCAGGAGGATCTTAACATTATCATGGTCAGTATCCTGTTGATCTTTTACATGGATAAAGATGTTTTTTGTTTAGGATGCCATTTCTTAAGATGCAATGACATTGTGTTCCTGTATGTTTTTTCCTAAGTATTTTATTTTCTTAGCCAGATAGTTTATGTTCTGATCAAGCCTTTTATATTCATATATGTACAAGAATGATGATGTTAGTCCTCCCGCATGTTCAAAAGTTTAACCATTCAGCCAATGCAAGCATCATGATGCTAGAAATTTGTTAATCAAACTGACAGAAACTTCTATTGGTTGAAACCGCCAAATAGTATTTGTTGAAGCTAAGAGTTACAAATTCAATACGGAATCCATTATTTTTAGCACATTGTTAAGGGGAAACTGAAAATTGCAAGGAGTCATTGGTTGTAATTGTAAAGCCACTTTGTTCGCCACTAGAAGTTGAAAGTGGACGGTGTGATCTCGCAGAATATGTATAGTTTAAAATTTTTCATTCTTTCTTTTGCAATACCGGTTAGATCACTTACATATGTCAAAAAATGCAACATTAGTTTACAAAAATAAAACCTAATACAACCTAGGATCTTCTCTTGCATACCATTTGCAATTTTATACAATCAAACAAAAATACCATGCATGAAGAAACGTAGAGCTTTAGAATTACCGTATAACTTGCCTCAGGTACCCAAGGACTTTGTACACCCCACACCGGATCTCCTCCATTGATGGCGCAATGGGATCAAGGTCTTTCTTGAATCTCAACAAATGGGAAGTAATACCAAACCCTTTACTCAATTTCATAGAGCATGAACACAAATATAGGTTTTTCCCTTCTACTCATCTATGTGGGGCGTGCCTCCCCCTTTCTCTATGTTCTAAAACCCTAAGAGTGTAGCTCCATTTTTCTTTTCTTTTCTATGAGAGAGAGAGAGAGAGAGAGAGAAGAGTTGAGGTAGAGAGAGAGAGAGGGTGGCATGCCACCTTGAGGGGGAGAGAGAGAGCTCAAGTCTTAGGGTTGTGTTTTGAAGACCCCCCCAAAAGATGCTTATATAGAACTGAGGCTAGGTTAGGGTTTCTTTAGGGTTTGGCATCCTTACGTGATTCCATCCAGACCATTGGTCAAAGGTGACTTGTGGGGTGAGAGATCTTAGCCATACAATCAATAGATCAGCCATCATGATCTAATAGAAGGTGCTAGAACCTTATCCCTCAGCTTCCTTAACCAAATCGTATCAAATATTATGCATAGAGAAATTATGTCAACTCTTTCCTTTATTTTCAAACAATCTTATTCATTTTTGAAATCAACTAGCCCGTTTTTACAAAACCTTCCTATTTGCTTTCCAAATCAATTTGGTTGGCTTATTACACAAGCCTCAACATTTAGAAGGTGATAGATGGTGGGATGTACCACTTATGGTAGTATAGTGGGCCCCACACCAATATTAAGATGGGCCTCAAATGGTGGGCCCTCATGTATTATGGGCCCCCATAATAATTAAAATATTTTAAGAATCATAAAATGAATTTTAGAAAACAATTAATATTTTTATTTTCTCTCTGAATAATTAAATACCTGAAAATGTAGTTTAAGCTTATTTAAAAATCAATTTCGATGAAATAAAATGTCCAGGGACTGGTAAAAATTTATTTTAATGTTCATTTAATACACAATTAATTATTTATAAATTAATTTGATGGGAATCAGATCTAACTTTTTTAAGAAAAATGCGAAAATACTAAGGCATTCCATCTCTATTGGTGACTATGTCCCACACTCACCTTCTCAAACTGACCCAGTAGTTTTCATGAACACCCACTGTCTATTATAGGGGTTCATGATTGGACTACCAAAGCCAGCCAATAGGTGATGAGAACACTATCCCAGTCTTTGGGCTACCGGTTCTCCTTAGGGACAAGCCTAGGTCACACAAACCTGTGTACACTCATCACAATTGATGCATGGGGGCTATCTTTAGCACATGTACATGTAACACCCTCAATGGTGTCTATTGTTTTAACCCCGAAATGTTAAGTCGCAGACACGAATGATTCTTATTTGTGAAAACAAGGATCCAAAAGCATTATATACAAATCATGACAGAAAGAGCTTAAGTACAAGTTTGAGTTACATAATGACTAAAATATCCCTTACCCTGCTTTTAAGCCTTGGATAATATCAATTCTTACTAATGAAATGAGGATTGAACCTCTTATGCGACTTGCATAAGGGCTAAAATTCATTTTAGCATAATATACATTAGTGAGAGATTATATATAAGGTCTTAACAGTCCTCTGAAATCAGAAATCCACATATATGGGTGCCATTTGTTACAAAGTGGTTCTGTCTATCTTGAATTCATGACTTTGTGAATAAACTGCAGCTTGTATTTTGAAGTTGCTGTAGGTGAGAGCTGGACTGGCATCAGTCTTTCTCAAAATTGTGGCAACCTACATTAATGTATCTGGTCTTGTCATGGGATACATGTTTGGTTGATTTTTTTGGGGCATCCATATTACCTTTGTGGCCAACTGTACATCTTGCTACTTAAATTCTTATATATACTGATAGAGGTTAAAGCCATATGATCTCAATGAACGTCCTTGACATTGCTTTATGTCGAGTCTTTGCACTGGACTGAGACACCCTGTCTCGTTTGTTGCTATGCCCAGAAACAAGTAAATCTTCTGTACAGATGTGGTACTCAGTAATGGTCATGTATTCAGATGCTAACCTTGTTAGAATTTGTATAGCCAACTAGTTGAAGATGTCTAAGCTAGCATAATAAATGAATCTCCTCATTTATTTATGCTGCAGAATTTTTATTTTGAGAAAGTATGACAAGTGCCCTCTATCCGTCATTTGGGACTGTTGTTGCAAAGAACCATTAATGTGCAATGTGGTTGGGGTGCTGTTAACATCAATAAAATCATCTAGAAATTTGGAGACTTGAGCACTACAACGTATCTCAAAGAGCAATGTTAGCTATGAGGAAGGTCCTTAAGTGTCAAGGAAGCTTTTCCTTTTATGCCCCTTTCGGTCTCTAGTGGCAAGATTTAATGGAGCAACACCTTGAATTCCCACCTTTGGTCCTCCCCTCCTCATTGACACAAGATTAACTTAAAAAACTCAACTTCCTTGAGGTCCTAGTTGCCTTGTTTCTTCTTCCTATAAATTCTAGAGGTATGTGATTCACCTCATTTTGATGGTATTTGATTTTATCACGATTTACTATATGTGCATGGTTTAACTGTCTGCCAAATTGTCTAGAGTTTAGGCGTGCATTGGTCTTCATGGCACTGCGGTGTGATTCTTTACTCAAGAGTTTCAACCTATGTGATGGACATCCTATCAAAGTTGCAAGTGTCTTCAATGTAGTGTCTCCAGTTCCAAGGAACTTTAATATAAAGTATTAGTCTTTCCTTTTCCTTTTTTTTTTTGGAAAATTTCGTATAAAACCTAATTCCTCATATTATTTCATAGTAGGCTCTCCTTCCGTTTTTCTTTCAAGTGGCATAAGGAAACCCTCAAGGATTCACCGTACCCCCTCATCTCTTATCTCCCTCTTTTATTGACTTTTGACTATAAAAATTGGTCCCAACAAATCTTTTAATACCATTTCAATCCAAAAACTTTTTAAACTCTCTTTTCCTCTTTTCACCCATTAAAAAAGTGTTTGGGTTGAAATGGTATAAAAAGATTTGTTGGGGCTAATTTTTATGATCAAAAGTCCATAAAAGAAGGAGATAAGAGATGAGGGGGTACGGTGAAATCTTTAGGGGTTTCCTTATGCCGCTTGAAAGGAAAACGGAAAGAGGGTCTACCATGAAATAATATGAGGAATTAGGGTTCTATATGAAATTTGCCCTTTTTATTTTTGGGTGTTTTCTTGTTAAAAGCAAGGGAGCACATTGGAAGAAAAACCAAGAATGCTAGTTGGTTTGAATGGTGCGGACATATTAATAAGTGGGATAGGGGGATGTGGGGAGGAGAATATAGATCACAGAGAGGACAAATCTGTTCTCATCAAGGGCTTCTCTTGTAGAGCCCGCAAGAGCCAGCAATTTGGTCATATAATTGGCCACTCTAAGAACATTTTGCAGCATCACTTGTCTGCCCATACTTAATTTGTAAATCTCCTCCATAACATTGGCCAAAATGCATGCTTGGACCCTTCACCTAGAACCTATTTACGTTCAATGGGTTTCATTCGGCCTTGAGAAGGAATTAAAGAAAACCTTCAACCCAGTGAGAAAACTTTGAGCTTCTGCCTCCATGGCATCCCCAAGACCAGCAGGCCTAAAATAGCAACTGGGAGACTCCAAGATGGTCCCCGATAACCCCCACCCCTGAGGGTCCAGGGTTGTATAGCAAGCTACCATCGAAGTCAACTGTTGATTTGTTTGAGTCTTGAATATTTCATTGCTTGTATTTGCTCTATTACATTTTCATATTAGAAATTTCTTGATTAGCAACCTATATTAGGTCATTCTCTCGATAAACTTATTTCCTTTGTTGGCCTGCTTGCAGCCTGTTCCTTACCTTTTTTCACTTGCAAATTGAAGCATGATATGTTCATATACTTGTCCTAGCCTTTAAAGGCACCAAGAGCTAATCTATGTGACATATGTGATAACTCAACTGTATCCCATCCACGGGAAAATTTGCATCTTATATCAAGATGAAGCCTATCCGACCCCAATTAATTGGGAAAAGACTATGATGATGATGATGATGATATCAACATGAAGCTTCCCTCTCTTCTTATGCTTAGAAACTTGCTCAGAGTGACTCAATGATACTTCACATTCTAACGTCTAACCAGTCGCCTGAAGTTCCTTGTATACTTATGTCTACCCAGTCCCTTGAAGTTCCTTTTATCTTTTTTAGGTCTTTGACTTATTGATGCGTGGACCTGAAAAAACATTCAGAAGTTGGTTGTGGTAGTTGCCAAGGTGGTCTTAACCAAACTTATCATTCTATGAGTGATATTAATTAGTCATCTCGAGAAGTGAA